CCCCCTCCCCTAGCCCCTCCCCCTGAAGGGGGCGGGGGACGTGGGCAGCCGCTTCGCTGCTGATTTCATCTACTTCTTCACGCCTCACCCCTCAGGCCTCATCACCTAGTAATGATCGCCGCGTTTGCGGAGGTGGACCATCGGCGGGGTGTCGTTGCGAACTTCGCTGGCGGTGACCTCGGCGATGACGACGCGGTGGTCGCCGGCGTCGGCAACCGTCGCCATCCGACATTCGAGCACGGCGATCGCGTCGGCAAGAGCGGGGGCTCCGCAGGCGGTTCGCGCGATTGCGACGCCCTCGAACGCCGGCTCGTCGGGCTCGAAGCCTTTTGCGAAGTGCTTGAGCAGGGACTTCTGACCCTCGCCAACGACGTTGAGGACGAACGGCTCGCCGGCCTCGATCCGCTCGCTGACGGGGCGGCCGCGCTTGAGGGCGACGCTCAGCATGGGCGGCTCGAACGCGGCTTGCTGCACCCAGCTAGCCAGCATGCCCGTGGCAGTGGCGTCCACACCGACGGTGAGGATGTAGATGCCACTCGGCAAGCGGCCGAGGGCGAGGTGGGGCAGTGAATGGGCGGGTTCGCTCACGAAGCGGTGGCGGGGCGAGGGTGATGGAGGTGGATACTTTCATCTGAATGACCAATGACCAAATCCCAAGGACCACTGCCAGCGGAGCGGGAGCTCCTCATTGGTCATAGGGGCTTGGTCATTGGTCATTCCATTTATGTTAGGTACGTTTGACGGAACGCCCTAGCTTCGCCTCAACGCTAGCAACCTTGCTGCGGAGGCGGCCGCTATGGCCGGGGCGGTAGTCGAGCTTTGCCGAGCAGGTAACCCGACGGCTCTTGACCGCCAGGTGCTCGATGCAACGCTGCATGAGCTCGAGGACTTCGGGCAACTCGCCTTCGACGATGGTGCCCATCGAGTGCAGCTCATAGGGCAGGCCGCTAGCATCGATTAGTTCGACGCACTCAGCCACCGCGGCGCTGACGCTTTCGCCAGCATCCATCGGCACGAGGCTCATCTCTAGCAGGACCATCGCGACGACTCTCCGCAGGACGATTCACCCAAGATCGTGGCCGCTCGGGGCTCGTGCGGCTTCGATTGGTGGTTCCGATTAGACCGGTTGTAGGGGTTTTGAGGGTTCTCGTCGAGGGGCGACGCTTCATAACTCAATACCGGCATAGGGGTTACGTTCCGTCAAGTTTGCTCTAGGGA